CCTAGGCGTGAATTTGTTTAAGGTGTGGAATCTGTCGCCAACACAACAACCACACCCTGAGTTAATGAGCTGCATGACCCAGTGTCAAGGAATAGTCCGAGAAGACTGGACATCTCGCCAACTGCAGTGGCTAACCATTACCCCAGAATACGATCCACAAATCGATTAACATCCAGGTTCCCAATTACTGCTGCGTAGACAGAGGCAAATGGAGTAAAGAAACTTGCCCATAGTTTCACCCTGCCCAGGGATCAAACCTGGGTCAGCTCGTTTGCGAGGTGAGCATGCTGACCATTACACCACAGGACGCCACATGACAATACTGTATACTACATTCCACACTACACTATCTCTATTTCTGATTCATAATTACTATAAGCTGCTGCCTCACCACCAGTTAACGTTGTTACATAAGAGATGGTAGATCTACTTAGACACAAATATAATGATACCTAGGTAAGAAAATCAGTCTCCTGGTAATTAATCAATACGTACATTATATCTAGAGACTTAAAAATGTATGTTCACCTTTAAATTGTTTCATTAACATAAATACCTGTACTTATAAATTACATTGAAAGTTATCAATTATTAATCAGATTAAAGCCAAATAAGAATATAGTATTGTAGAGTGATTATCTAAAATAAATTACACCACAGTATAATACAGTACACTGAGAACAACCCAAGCGATCTTCTGGCCCGCCAAGTAATCAACTTGTGCCAATATACGGTACAGTAAACCCTACAGTCCACCACATGATGAAATATGTTTTACCACACAACTTTATTTCCTCACCTACTGAAGTATACTCATAAAATGTTAAAACTCCCTCTTTCACAAATATTCTCCTTAAGATGGCCTTCCACCATGACTCACTCTTGTACTGTACCATTGTCTTGGATGAGTAATGATCTACCTATCTTGGAAATGAACATTGGGACTCCTGTTGTCTCAGTAGGGGTGTCAAAGTCCTTCATCCGTTGTCATATTGTCTCGTCTCAAATCATAAAGACACTGTTTGGAGCGATTGTACACAATGGTCAGCTTTCACCTCATCTAAACATATATCTTATGAGTTATTTCAGTCTTAAATTCATGACACAATAACCACTGTGATAAGTACACCATTTTTCTTCTGACTTAACTTTAGTCAACACTATACTCTTCCATCTTACATCAATAATGACAGCATCTTTCCTTTTCATAATAACTTTAATCATTATATACATCAATAATAATGATATCTTTCTTTATTCATTATAACTTTAGTCATTACTACACTCATCAACACAGCAAAATTCTTGATATACAAAATCATGGAATGTGAAAATCATGAGCTGACATTGACCACAGGGATAAATGCCATGATAATGATATACTGTACAGTAGTAAATCAAGTCATTAAGATACACCACAATTATTACACACTGTAATGTACTCTATTGTCATCCATTCAGTCTGTTTCTACTACTAAAATCCTCTTTAAAGTCCAAAAAACTGTAATATCAAACTAGTGACACAAAATTCTACAATAAATTGGTCACGACTGTTACTGTATATATTAAAGACAGTCCAATACATAACTTAAAAGAATAACTGAACAAAAGCACTCATTGTATATACAGGGTGTAAAAAAAAGTATACACTGCCTATAAGGTTTTTGAGAACACTACCTACATGAATATTCATATTATTTGTGGGAGACCTCGTACATCAAAAAGTGAATACATACTGTACTGCACAATGTTGATGTTGTAATACAGGTTGACAACCCTTTATCCGAAATTCCGAAAACCGAAAAGCTCTGAAAACCGAAAGTTTTTTGTGGAGCAAAAATTTTATTATTTTTTTTTTTTTACAGGTATTAGCCCACCCAGGCATAGATCACTGACCCACATCGGGGCCTGGAGGGCGAAAATGTAATAGAAATACTAATTATAATAATAATAATAATTATTCATAGTAAATAAAAATTTTAAATAAAAATACACGCAAATAAAATAATAATGATAACAATAATACTGTATTCATAAAATAATAATAATAGTAATAATAATAATAAAGAAATACAAGAATGAAAAAAAGATAAAAAGTGAGTAACACGACCCAGACCTATGAATTATTATTACTGTATTACCTGTATTATTATTATAATTAATATTATAATCATTATATATTTTCGCCCTCCAGGCCCCAATGTTGGTCAGTGACTTGTGCCCAGGTGGGCTAATACACACACACACACACACAAAAACTAACCATTCTGAAAACCGAAAAATTCCGAAATCCGAAATGCCTCTGGTCCCAAGGATTTTGAATAAGGGATTGTCAACCTGTACAAACATTCATGCAATCTCCTAGAAAATCTGAGACAGTTTGTATAAATTTTTCAGAAGTACCCTGAATTGGTAACAAATCTTCTCATGTACAGGATGCTCCATCAAAGTGAAACACCAGTAAGAGGATATATACAGTACTGTACTGTAGTTTACCCATCATAAATGAGACATACATAGTTCTTAGTTTACCACCAATTACATGACTACATCTCCTATAAACATTAACATATCTAGTTAGCTAGTCATTAACAGAACAGTATCTAATAGCAAGTTCATCTCACAATACACACAAGACATGCTATAAATCACACTGACAGTTCTGTAGCTACACCACAGCATCTTCCTCTGGTAAAGCCCATTTAAGATGTAAATTCAATTTCCTTAAAAATACAGTACAAAGGAGGAACCTGTAATACACAGAGAAAAACTGCCATGTTTGGTAGTATTATCGCACAGAATAACACCCTTCTCACATGAGTAAAGTTACATCTGCACAACCTGTGTAAAGGTTAAGTAACATATATACAACCTGGAAATAACATACTGTATATATACAGTATATATATATATATACAGGTAGTTCTGCTATAACGCGATAATTGTGTTCTTGTAAAATATCGTGTTATAGAAAATCGCGTAATAGAAATAACAGGGCTTATGGAGAAAATAGGGTTAGGTGCAGATTACTCGAAATCGAAAAAATTTAGTAGTTAGCCTAACACAAAGGATAGCACAGTCTAAATAAATGTTACATTCATATCTAATAATAAAATCATACAGTAAATGTAACACTTTACTTGATGGGGGAGAAGGGTGATTTTGAGGTTGATAAAATCGAGCTTCTCTTCAAGTGTTATATCCTTTCTTTTACGATCATCACCAGGAATTCTATCACCAGAACGCTTCTTGTTGATATTCTTCTTTACTATATTCACAGTTAATACAGTGGGGTATGCTATAACGAACGGATTCTACTACGAATATTCCTATAACGAACGGTTTTACCTATAAAATTGAGAATGCTATAACGAACGAAACTCCTACAACGAACATTATTTAATTTTTTTTTTCTAATTTATTGTTTTTTTATTACAAATATTAATGATATTCTTTATTTCAGGGGTTTAGATGCATCTTTATGCACTTTTTTACAATTTTTACAATTTTATATTATATTTTTCAGTGTTAAGTGGTTGTATTTGGGGGCCTGGAACGGATTAATCCTATAACGAACGAATGCTATAACGAACAAGGTTCTAGAACCAATTAGATTCGTTATAGCATACCCCATTGTACCACAAAATTGGAGAAATAGTAAGCAAAAATCGCGTTATAGCAAACAAGCGTTCGCGTTATACAAATATCGTTCCTAATTCATAAATCGCGTTAGAGCAAATTCGCGTTATCAAAACACGCGTTATAGCAGAAATCACTGTACAACATGCACAAGTGTTAAGTAACACCTGTAAAACATGCACAGTATAAGTGTTGAGTGTCGTCTGTATAGCCTATACAGTACTGTACATGTATTAATATAATGTATAGCTATAACATATATATGCACTGCATTAAGGAATATATGTACAAGTACAACCTTTACCAGGTAAGTATTAACACCTGTACAACCTGTGTATGTTACACCTCTCCAAACTGTAGCTACATAATTTGGTTAATTAACTTACATTAAAAATTATTTTAAAGAAACATCTCTTATTTAAAAGAGTGCAAATACTGGAAAATGGCTTTAAAACAGTGTTGCGGAACATTAGTGAATTTGGCAGGTTGTCTATGGGTACTATAGTCTCCTGCTATAAGAATGCTATTCCACAGAGGATGACCCTCACTGAACCTCAAAGACCACTGACTCATAAATGATTTAGCTATTAGATTAAAAATAAAGATCTCAAAAAGCCTAAATGACAGATAAAAGTTGCAGCATTAAGAAGTGTACTGTATATCCAGTAGAAAAGTGGGTAGACATATAAAATATAATGCAATTTGACTGAATGGTTACAAATCCTTTGATACTGTATATACCCAGCAACTACACAACATCAGCCAGGGTTATAGTTTTTGGATGGCCAGACAAAATGAACCAACTGAACCTAACAATTTTATTTTATCATTTATTTATGTTGGGTAAGGTTGGATCACTGTTTGTTGTCATTAATAGTCTAATAACTGGTGCATCCATACATACTTGTCCAGCATTGTCTCAATATTGAAACAGCACTTCTATGATAATGGAACTTTATTTCTGCAATGTTGAGTGTCTGCTGGGTAGAGCTATTGTATACCTATTAAAGCAGTTAATGGTATAATTCAGTAAGTAATGGTGGTAACCTTAATATGATAACCCAGCGACATTTTGAATCTCACGAAGATTAGGAACCCCAGCTTAATTCACCTGATCATTAAACACCCAAATGCTAAATGGGATTTGGGTTGGTTAGTACAGTATTAGGGCATTTAATCATTAGGTAAAATAAACATGGGTTCATAATCTTCATGAGATCCAACATTTCCTTGAGTGAAGTGATACCTGTATTGACTTCAAATTAATATATATATATATATATATATATATATATATATATATATATATATATATATATATATATATATATATATATATATATATATATATATATATATATATATATATATATATAGTATGGTATATGGAAGTCTCTAAAATTTAACTAAACTTAAAATTTCAGATAATAACCACCTAATTTATAATGAAGGAACTAATTACAGTACTTTCCATTTACTCTGTCATGATTAAGTCCACCACACTATTGACATTGGAATACAATGAATCCACTGTCACTGCCACAATTTTCAACATGGAGCCGGGGGCGTTGTCAGGCCTCAACATGGAGCCGGGGGCGTTGTCAGGCCAAACAGAAGATCGGCTCTTGAATTCATGAAGTAGACTAGGGCCAGAGAGAGCAAGAGCGATGCAATTCCGCCACACACTAAACCAACCTCCTCTGCCACTGATGGCTTCAGGAAAATCATAGCCTTGGTTAACTGCCATCCACTCTCAGTCCATGTGGAATACTCGCCCGACTGCCAGTTGTAATCCTTTATAAGGAAGGCGGGGCTCATGGCCTCCGTCTTCCTTACAGTGGACATGACACACGTTCCATTGTTGAGAGATGCGAAGTAGTAGAGCTGGTGGACTTGATTTAAACTCTCTGTCTTACACTTGGTCTCGTTCAGCTCGACTTTCTCGCCCAGGAGTTTGGCAAAGACTAAGTGGGTCAAGGTTGTACGGCTTCCCTCGCCTCCCTTAACGCTGACGTACATCTTAGCAGGTTTGTCACTGAAGAGGTCTCGTGGCAGTCTATCACCATAGTCGCGGAACATCTGACAACTGAAGTTCTTCATATAACAATACAACAGATCGTCAGTCAGCTTTTCGTCTGCCTTGATAACCTTTGAGTTGCCCGTGAGGCGTGTGTAAAGGGCAGATGCCAGCACTCCTGCGACCCGGCTTATGTGTTTATGATACATGTCCGTCTCCTGGCTCTCATTTTCAGATGTGTATTTAACATTACGGTAATCGTCAAATATACTTTCATAGTAAGAGTTCTTGAATTCGTCTCTGTGATCGGTAATGACGACACCAGATATATTCACCCTTTTCAAGAAGCTCTGGAAAGATGCAGGTGGCAGAGGTGCATCTCCATTGGCTCTCTCAAATTTTACATTCCCAGAACTGTTGGCATACTTTTCCAAGAGATTTAGCAAGGTGTCTGTCTCATTCCCAATCTCTGGATCAACATTAGAGATGGGATCAGTGTGGAGGAACAGATGGCTTCCTACGGGCGTCATTCCTTGGCCTACCTGAGCCAGCTCAATAAAGGAGTCAATGTGGGTTAAGTTCATCTGTGATATCTGGTCAGTCTCGTCCTCTTGATGTTTAAAAGGAAAGTCTCCCTTCTCCATGTTCCACACCATACGTGATGATCCAATGTAACCCCAAGTCTCTCCCTGGTACAGCACAAACAGCACATTCTTCTCAACCTCTGATTTCATGATGTCGTCCTTTAAGTTATAGAGAGCCCCGGCGGCGGCCAAGAGTGTCACCATGCCTGAGATGGCAGAGTTTGCGCCAGGAGAGATATTATCAAACATCGTGGCAGCGTCCATCCTGGCAGCCACGATGATGACAGACTTCTCCGGGGTCACTTCTGAACTGTTCATAGGCTTGACGCTGCCCCAGATGTTGTAGTCAGAGAGTGGATCACAGAAGTTCACTGGCTGGAACACTGATGTGGCGATGGTCCGCCGCCTCATGCAAACCTCTGTGTTGGTTGTCCCGAACATGTTGGACTTGAGCTCCATGCAACACAGCGGCCATGAACGAGGTTCTCCGTCTGTACCTGGCTCATTGAATGTCTTATAGTAATCCCTGATGTTGTTAATGGACGTCTCATTGTCAATCAAGAAGATCGGAAAACTCCAGGACATGTACAATAGTGATGTACCATTGGGGTTCCACGGCTCCTTCCAGCAGTAACCAGAGTACTCCGATTGTGAGGAGTCATTGTATAGACCAAGTTCATGGTTGGGGCAATGAGTCTCCCCAGAGAAACCCCCAGGGAGGTCCAATTTATTTTCCTCCACCATGACTACCACCCCGGACACCTTGCCCGAGTTCTGGGCTTCCTTTAGCACCTCTGAGGTAAGGAACCTTGGGGTAATAGCCAACACGTAAGGCTGGTGAGGTCCTCGCTGATACACCCACACTAAGTCTTCCTTGGACTCAACTACGTGAACAACACCAATGTTGCCAGAGAACTTGGACGTACATCCGATCTCCTGCGTCCCATTAAACCTTTTGAAGCAAGCCATATCACCCTGGATATCCTCATAGATCTTGTGTTTCACCCGGTTCCCGTTCACATCCATCAACACTACGAGTAAGACAAAAATATGAGCCAAGAGGCGATTGACGCAGGACACAACAGCCGCCATGATTGTTGACTAATTCTATCTGGTGTTAAAGTATTACCACGAACACGACCGTAATGTCATTTACTTATTTTTTGGATGGCACGATTCTAAAAAAAACAAAAAAGTCCCCTTTATTAACCCAAAACTTCAATACAAAATTTAAATTATGCTAATTTATTATATTTGATCACTATGGTTTCTTAAAAACGAAAAAAAAAATATATTCTGTATATCTTAACTAATGTTAAGATAATTCCCACGACAAAGACTGGTGTGTGTGTGATATATGTGCAAGTAAATCACTGTACCCTGAGAACTGAACCTCGGCGAGGTAGGTTCTCTCTGCTCCCGAGGTACCGTGAGACCATGTTCACCTTCGACCAGGCGAAGGTCGCTAGACTGGTTCCGGTCAAGCACCCTTCGCGCAAAGAACTAAACCTCCTTGTCCTGAGGAAGTTTTTTGACTCCTCGGGAATCACGGGGGTGACAAGGGTCGTCCGCAGTGACAGCGGTTACCTTAGCGTCACCTTCGCGGAGTGGGGAGGGGCCAAGCAATTAAGAAAAATTAAAGAAATCAATGGAATCGAGATCAAACTTGCATACTCCTTTGTGGACAACTCGGTTTTGGGAGTCATCTCCCACACAGAAATCGAACATCTCGAAGAAGAAGAAATTTCCGGCGCGGAAGTGTCGTGCTCGGGAGGTGTGTTCAAGCTGCGGGACACCCGGGCACATTGACGCTGACTGCTTGGCGGCCGTGAAGAAGTGCGCAACTTGTGGTGGCCCTCACTCCTCCTCCGACCGGGAGTGTCCCAAGTGGAGGGAGGAGTGCAGGGTGGCCAAGCTGCGGGCTAAAGAAAAACTGAGCTACAAGGAGGACCTCCTTGTAGTGAAAAATCAAGAAAAGAAAAAGCAAGACAAGAACAAGATCAAGGAACCCGATAACATTACACTATCTTTAACATCGCTTATTGACGTGTATGAGAATATCCTAGAAGAAGACCAGGAAGAAGAAGAATGGAAAGTGAAAAGCAAAAGAAGAAACAAGTAAAGAAAGAAGTCCAACCAATCAGCTTCGGCCGAAATAGCCTAACGGCGAAGGTCAGTAATCCCCAACAACTTTGACTTTGATCACTGTAGGTGCGCGTGATCTAGGTATATGCTGATAACCACAAGGAAAGAAGAAAACACGAAAGCGCTTGGGAACTTCGTGTTTTCTCCTTTCCTTGTGGTTATCAGCATATATATATATATATATATATATATATATATATATATATATATATATATATATATATATATATATATATATATATATATATATATATATATATATATATATACCAGTCTTTGTCGTGGGAATTATCTTAACATTAGTTGCCCTTTGCCTGCCAGCCATATTTGTTAACGAACCATGAATCACATCTGATACTTCTTCTTATCCTTAATAATGTTAAAATAATAGTTATTCAAGAAAAAAGTCAAATGGAATGGAACAAGTAATCTGACCGTATTAAAACCAGTAGTAATGGTATCAAACAATTCAAACTAAAGCTAAAAAAATACATGACAGGTAAAGCTACAGCAAGAGAAGTGTGTTTCTATATTAACCACAGAATTTTGTATTGAGGTGACCCATCACACCCTCCTCCTCCCGTGAGTCCAATCGAGCTGTAATGTTTATCTTTATTAAAAAAAATAACATTTTAATCCTGTAGATATACTATTATTGATTAGATACCAACCCTAAGCCGAAACAAAGGACCCCCAGGCGGCCCGACTACTTACCCAAATGTACCCAAATGTAGCCGCAATGAAGTCAAATAATGGTCCTACATGAATAAATCGGACTGCTAATCACTTCTCGACTAGTATTTGGTGTCAGAAAGTCACAAAAAATTGGAAAACTGGCGTAAGGTAAAAAGTGATGAAACGCTACATTATTTAGAGAGGGAACAGGGAAGACACTCTACTCACCTGAGTCTCCATGGCAGCTCTCCGCCCTTACCAATACCCTGGTTTTCACATACAGCGACGATAATGTTCAAGCAAACAGCCATGGCAGAAAAAATGGAAGACAAAGACTTCACTGCTCTTAAACAAGGAGGGAAGAGGAGGCAGACGATTGAGCAAGGACAAGGAAGCGTGCTGCTGACTACTGAGATTTGAATTGTTGTGTGTTATGCACGCATGCGTAGTGCGGTCAACACACCTGAGGGGGGTGCAGGTGCTGATTACCTCTACTGAGAAAAAATGTTTGTTGAGAGAGGATTTTTGTGATAATTACATATTTTTTGTTGGTGTTTTGTAATTAAAAGTATTACATTAATAACAAGTTAATAGCAGTAGTTGAGGATTGTTGCTAGGCCTGTTAATTTTTAAGAAACATTGGCACTGTAGCACTATGTAATTAATGTTCATTTTGGGTATTTTTTATTTTTGTGTATCATTCGCCACTTATCAGCTTACTAGCTTATGTAACTTTTCCAGCAAGCTTTAACTTAAAACCTGTGTTCACAGAGCAGCCAGCATACTTCACAGCAACTAACAAAATAAGGAGCTCAAGTGTTGTGCTATTAGCAAGCTTGAGAAACTTCAAGTAGTTTAACAAATGGTTATTTATAAGTTAGGAGAAAAACTATCGTTTCGGTCAATCACTTACTGTATTTGAAAGTGAAATTATGGTTTTCCCATTTTTGTTTTGTTTTATGTTTTGAACGATTCTGGCCATTTGTACCCCTTATCCAACAGTGGGGACCCAGTGGGGACCAGGGGTTTTGGGTTGAGGAAAATCACAAAAAGTAGTAATTTGCGATAGAAATAAAGATCAGAATCGTACAAAACATCGAAAAAAAACATAATTTCAACCTAACTAACCGGTAAAAATGTCACAGCACTGCTTCTCAAATGCAACCTAACCTAATTCCAAAATTTAAAATCCTAAAATTCCTTGGATGACTGAAACAATAATAATACCAAGTTAGAAAAGTTCATTTTGGTTAATATTTTTCCAGTGGCTGTCTGCAGGTTCCTGCCATGTTTCCCTGAATCCAGGAAAAAAGGTCACATAAAAAGGCACGTAAAAAAGCTAACCTAACCTAAGCTAACCTAACCTAACTTAACCTAACCTACGTGCAATGCCATCATATATATATATATATATATATATATATATATATATATATATATATATATATATATATATATATATATATATATATATATATATATATATATATATATATATATATATATTGTGTTGTCAATGTGTAAAAGTTGCGACTTTTTTTCCTGTGGACTTCATATCCGTCCAACGTTTACCTGAAGCTATACGTCACTTGTCTCCTCCTTTCCTCCTCGTATATTAGGTTAAGTAGGTTGGTTCCTTTGGTATGAGAATAGTGTTTTGTGTATTTTTGGTGTGCTTTACTTAAATCTGACCACCATTTTTGTGCAAATTAGTGGTTTCTGTTAAAATAAAAAATAAAGTTTTGGGCAGAAAAATGCTAATTTGCACAAAAAATGAAGGTCAGATTTGAGTAAAACACACATACACACACACAAAACAAAAAACTATTCTCATACCAAAACCTGAGGACAGCCAATGGACAAATTACCCTTCATTTTTAACAAATATTGGTAATCACTACCTAGTATGTTTCTTATTCCAGAATGGAAAAAAGGCAAATTTTTATTTGTTGCCACTAAACGAAATCAAAGTTGAAACTATGTTTTTTTATGTATATGAACGAATTTAACCTTCATGTCTGGGTCAAATCAATGGTTTCTGAGATAAGCCCAACCTCCTCCCATCTCAGGGGGGCACTACTCAGTCGAGTGTCCTTACTTGGAGCTTTCGGACGCTCGCCCCACAAGGGGTCACAGCTCAAGATTGAAGAAGCCTCAAGACCAGAAAACTGTGAGGGCAAACTTTTTCAGAGTGAGAGTTGTGAACTCTTGGAAAAATCTGATAGAAAGTGTTGTGATGGCTTAGGATCAGTTGTGTAAAAAGATTTGTTAGTAATTCTTTTTCTTTTATCCTCTTCGCCACTGATCGGCTTGTTAGCCGCTTGGGCGATCGGTCACGTCTGTCACGCACTGTTGGCAAATACTGGGCATACACCGGCTCCTGAATGTACCTGAACCTGCTCCAGTGTTGGTCAAGTCTTGTCTTGAAAGAGCTCACACTCGGTGCCGTCACAACACTCTCTGGTAGATTGTTCCAAGAGTTTACAACCCTCACTCCGAAAAAGTTTGCCCTCACGGTTTTCTGGACTTGCGGCTTCTTCAATCTTGAGCTGTGACCCCTTGTGGGGCGAGCGTCCGCCAGCTCTAAGTAAGGACACTCAACTGAGTAGTGCCCCCTGAGATGCTTATACACCTCAACTAGGTCCCTCCTTGCCCGTCTGTAGTATAAGCTAGGCAAGTTCAGGCGCTCCAATCTCTCAGGGTAGCTGAGGTGCCGAAGTGCAGGCACCAGTCTGGTGGCCCTCCTCTGAACATTTTCAACCAACTGACAGTCCCTAGCATATCTCGGGGACCAGATGGGGTGACAGTACTCCAGATGGGGAAGCACTTCACTCCTGAAGATCGTTACGAGGGACGGACCGTCTAGATATCTGAACGACCTTCTTATAAGACCCAATAATTTATTTGCTTGATTTACCTTCTTCTCACAATGTTAAGGCATTTGTCTATAAAAGACCGAGGGTACTTAAGGTTCAAGCCAATATTATAGATATATTTATATTCCTCATCAATGAATTCCGGACTGCATATTCTTAGAGCACATAAAAACATTCTTGAAAATACTGACTGTTTGACTCTATTATGGTGGGCAGAATAATAATGAATGTATGAACACACATTAGTAGGTTTCATATAAATACTGAACTTAAAAAGGTGTTACCCATTCTGTGGATCAGACAGTCTAGGAATGGTAATTTGCAGTCATTCTCTAATTCCACAGTGAATTTGATCGAGGGGGTAAGTTGTGGCAGGAAAGCTTTTAGGTCCTCATTACAGTACATAGCCAAAGACATATTACATCATCTACTTATCTAAACCAAGCTGCTGAAGGTGGTAAAATATTACTTAATAGTTTATTCTCAAAGAATTCCATATATAAGTTGCTTAATACTGGTGAAAGCAGATTACCCATTGCCATACCAAATTTTTGAGCATAATATTCTCCATTAAGTTCAAATTTACAATCCTTAATACCTAGTTTGATAAGTTCGATGAAATCATTTTTCGAGACGGGCAATGAAGGAGACGTTGAAGAAAAATGTTTAATGAGATTATCTTTACCTCTCTTTCAGATTGGATCATGTAACCACTGTCAACGATGCAGTACTGTACTGTACTGCAGTTAAATATAGGCATTAGAACTCAAATCAATCAAGGTTGATGAACTCTTGGAGCTGGTGGGAATGGATCTGATTGGTGTGTTGCTTTTATGTACAGATTGGTTAATGCTTTTCACTTAAAACTTGTTAAACTCATTTAAGCTATAGGTCTAAAATTCAAGTCTGAAAATCAGCTTGATTGAAAGATTTTTTCCAAAGATATAGACTATCTTATAGTACTGTACAGTATTTTACATCACCAAATTGCTTACGGTTTTTCAGTACTGTAATGTACTTGTATCCTCTATGTCTTTTGACTTCTCTTTAACATGACATTCTTAAGTTCAAGTGCAAATAGCAATGTCGTCTAACAATTTATTCCAAAGTTATCGAGAAAATAAATTTGACACCGAGAGTATTACCTGCGTTCAGCTCCAGGAAAGCAAACATATTTGCTGTTATAAAACAAATGTTAAAGATCAAGAAAGCAGAACAGTACTAGACACAGGAAGCTGCTTGATTTAATTTAAACTACTCTTAGTTTTCCCTTTTTAGCATACAGTACTATAGTGCTTTTGGCCAGGAAACACTGAATCCTGATACATAAATCAGTTTCATTTTCATGTATTATTGTAGTATTTATGTTTCTCACAAGTGGGTATACCTATCTATTACCTCAGTCCTTTGACTGGTAATTTCTGTTATTATTGTATTTTCTGTCTGTACATTTGTCAGCTTTGTTCTCTAGTTCTCTTTATACAGTATTCATAATCTTAAATTAATCTTATATTGCAGGGGGTGATGATTTTCAGAGAAACTTCTAAGTTCAGTCCTTTGTAAGAAATGCCTAATATTTATTTATTTTTATGTTTTACTGTATACAGTATATATATTATACAAGAGTATACAGTACAGTATACTCTATACCTTATATAGTATACTGAATTTGTTGGCAGAACAAATTTATGTGTCTGGTATTTACAGTATTTAATTAGTTTAGGCTACAAGATGTGTGATGACTCAAGAATGAAGAGATATCAAAAATTTTTGGTTTGTTTGAGTCAAGCATGTTGGTGGACCAAGTACAGTATGCATAATGTATTGACAGATTTCATTAGCCCATTAGGCAGGTGTGGTCAGGTCATTGAAAGGTCTAAGAATTCATCCTGACAAGCAACTCTTTTATCTTATTTACAGTAATGTGATAACTCTCATACAGTACTCGGTGATAAACTTGAGTACACTTTTTCAGTTTCTAATTAAGGGTAATAAAATGTTTTTTCACAATACATTTGTATCTATTTACATGACTGCTTTAAGAAAATATACAGATTCAATATAAAAGGAAAGAATGCAAACAATTGCATTAAATTATTTATCACTTTAAATAACACTTTAGCACTTTTAAATTTGAATAGAATACATCATTTGGTGCATTAAATCTGCCCCGAAAGATCAACTCTGTGTCTTTTTGTGCAGAGAAAATGTTACAATTTCCCTCCTCTGACGTAACAAGTTCCTGACAAATGATGTCACAACAACGGCAACTAAGATGTATGTAATAAACAAGTAAATACAGTATGTAAAGAAATATTTTTGTTGCATAATTTTGGTCGAGATATTAAGCATAAGAGGATTTCCATCAGTGTTAACAAGACCAGACTTAATTGTTATAGACCAAGAGGAGTTTATGTCTGTACCAGATGAAATATTTTCTCTTTGAGTACAGAATTCTCTCAATATTAGTATTCTTATCCATTTAACCTAAGCTTGTGGATGAGAACACCTTAAGGGTGCCTACTATAATGTGGTCACCACACAGTTTAATTTATGATGTACTGTATGTACACAAATACCATAAAATGTTCTTAGTTAAAAAGAGCATAAGTACCGAACTTTAATATTTTGCCTAAATCAAGCCTATAACTATGCCACTCTGAGATACCCAGAAGAGTCCTTGTCTATGATAAAATTCAGAAATGAATTGTTTTGGTCTGACAAGGAACACAACATTCAATAATTATATTAGGTACATTTGCTATAAACACAAAAATATCTTGGGTATTAATTCCAGATAGGAATACAGTACAGTATTACAGTGATATTGTATGAGGAAACTGACGAGACACAGCAAATGTGTTTGGTCGCTACTAATGATTGATACATATAGACAATAGTTGTGGTTCATCATAGCACTTTGCTACCATTGTTTTGGAGCAGATTTCTTTGGATATTTTCTCATTTTTTATTTCTAATAATGCAGGTTGACAACCCTTCATCCGAAATTCCGAAAAGCTCTGAAAACAAAGTTTTTTTGTGGAGCAATTTTTTTTTTTTTTTAACAGGGATTAGCCCACCCAGGCATAGATCACTGACCCACATCGGGGCCTGGAGGGCGAAAATGTAATAGTAATAGTAATACTAATTATAATAATAATAATTATAATAATAATTATTCATAGTAAATAAAAATTTTAATTAAAAAATACACCAAAATAAAATACTGTACTGTAATAATGATAACAATAATAATAAAATATAATAATAAAATTTATAATAATAATAACAATAATACTGTATTAATAAAATAATAATAATAATAATAATAAAGAAATACAAGAATGAAAAAAGATAAAACGTGAGAAACACGACCTAGACCTATGAATTATTATTATTATTATAATTGTTATTATATTTTTGCCCCCCAGGCCCCAATGTGGGTCAGTGACTTGTGCCCGGGTGGGCTAATACACATTAAAAAATACAAAAAAAAAAAAAACACCATTCTGAAAACTGAAAAATTCCGAAATCCGAAATGCCTCTGGCCCCAAGGATTTCGGGTAAGGGATTGTCAACCTGTAGTATCAAGTGAGATAAGACAGGTGTCATTGTTGCATCTATTCACCAAGCCATCCTCTTTCCAAAGTTTGGAGAAGCATGAAGCAGGATGTACCTACTGTATGTAATACAGTCTATTGGGAAAACTTTGCAGCAAGGAGTTCTACCGAGTTTGTCATTATCATCAATGTTTTACAGCTATTTTCTACACTTGAGTTAGTAGATCTGGATTTATGTGGATTTTGTTAGACAGAGATTCTACAAGATGTACAGTACACATACAGTACATGTACTACTGTACACTGTATACCAGTAATGATAATTTTTGTGGATTGAATAACTGACAACTGTTTGACAGTTCCTTCTGATAACATTTGTTTTCTTCTGCTTGGATACTAGATTTATGATGTTGTGGTGATGGCATTTAGAAAGGTTATGAAATTCAGAAATTTAAGAGGACATTACTTGAATTAGGGGTGGAGGAGGTAAAAAAATGGGATATGATGGATGTAAAGATGGGGAGAGAAGTTTGGAGAGGAGGAGGGATAAAAACCGAGACTAAGGGAGCCAAAAAGGAAAAGTAATGTACTGGTAGTTAAGAGAAATGGGGATAAGAAGAGATACTGTAAAGGAAAAAGAAATGGGGGATGAGAGAGAAAAGCTAAAAAGAGATTGTGCATTATGGAGAGCTGCCTCACGTAATCACACCTAACCCACACAAGTATGGAAAATGGCAATAAAAGAATGTTGATAAGATTTTGGTCACATCTTGAAACCAAGAAAGCTAAAATTTCAATCCATTCCATCATGAATAATTTGTGTTGTGTATTGACAATAATGTTCCTGTAGATTAAGTACAGTACAGTAATGTACTGCACAGGGTATTAAGATCTTATGGCTGTGAAATACTCAACATAATAAAAATAAAAAGATTGCCACAAATGGGGGACCTTTAATTAATAAGCCTCCTCTATTGCCTAAAGGGTATAATGTATACCTCTACATACTGTATATACTGTCCTAAATTTGGTGGGAATCGATGAGTGGAGCTAAATTTTGAGTGAAGGAAAGAAGATACTGTACAGTATTCCAAGACCTATTACATGGAGATTATTCAACCTGGCAAGACTGGATCTTAAAGTACAATACAGTAATAGTGTTTTATTGTGAATGGTGGAAGTGTACTGTATTTTGACAAATCTGAAAATTTTATGTGAATTTTGATGAATGAAAGGAAAAACTGTCAAGTCAACAGGTGCATTGATGTTTGCCGAGATTTTAAGAATGGATGTATTGGACTGATGTTGGCTGTTATATATTATAGTGTGTTTGTGTGTGTGTGTGAAGGCAAGGAGTAACCAGATATATATCATAAGTCTGCATATGATCTTAATTCTGGCCACCCTACAAAATACTGGCCATCCTGCATAATTCTGGACATAATGCATAATTCTGGTGATCCTGCATTATAAAAAAAAAAAGCTGCTCAAACCACTATGACTGGTACACTGGAGCACTTGAGATGAACACTTGAAGAGATGATAGTTGGTGTATAAGGATGATGGAGTTCACTGCTGTACATAATATAAACTAAATACAGTGCGGGGCATAATGGGAATTTATTGTAAAATATTTAATTCAACATAAGGACAGTCATGTTATGAAAATTTGCTTTAGCCATCTAATACACAAGGGAGAAAATAATCTGAATACAGTACCTGTATGTGTAAGACTGATTTACCTTTGAAGTTGTGAGAAGATGTAGTGAAGCTCAGTTGCATTCTCACATTTTGATAAACAGGAAGTTCAAGTTTGCTTGTAACTCCTGAGGTGCAAGTAATCTCTGAAAGGGATCCATGGAACTGCACCCCAGGAATGTAGACAAATTTACAAGTTCTAAGGCAAGCTGGTGCATTTTGAATGTGAGAAATGGATATTAGCATATTTTTAGCCGTGGTTGTTGGGTTTCTTCAAGGAGAGGGAAAATAAGGGGTAACAAAAGCCTCAAGAACACTGTGAGACTCTTTGAAACACTGTGAGGCCCCTGGGAGCACTGTGAGGCTACTGAGAACACTGTGAGGCCCCTGGGAACACTGAGGCCACTAAGAATACCATGAGGCCCCTGGGAACACTGTGAGGCCACTGATATCACCGTGAGGCCCCTCGGAACACTGTGAGGCCACTGAGAACACTGTGTAGCCCCTGGTTATACTGTGCAACCCCAAGGAACTGGGGCACTGGGAACACCGTGCAGTCCCTGGGAACACTGGACAACCCTTGGTAACGTTGTGCATCCCCTGGGAACACTGGGCAGCCCCTGGGTACACTTTTAATGTTGAATTTGGAATATATTTAGTGATGATAAGAGAAGCTTTAAATAAAGTATTGGGAGCAAATGATGTATTGATAAGTTTTATGGATTTACAAAATACTGTAGTATTTATTTTACCAAGCTTTTAGTAATGTGAGGAACCGTATCTGCTCGAATCTATGTCATCCCTACCTAGAATATACTGTACTGTATCATAACTCTCATAAAGACAACTACACTATGTATTGGTATATTATAATGATTTATGGCTAAACAAAATAAAAATAGTAATGTATTTGCAGTGAGATTTGTTTAAGAAAAACAGAAAAAAGAAGTAACACAATAATACAAATAAAAAAATGTTTGTCACATGAATAACAGCCATTAACCCACCCATTGTGGACATGGCATGTACGGAAAGGTCCGTCTATGGTATTGTAGGTAACTGTGGAAGTGTCATATATGGAAAGGAATCCTGTAACGTGTCTAAGTGTTGCACTGAGGCTACACATGAAACTCAGACCAACCATACATTATTGCATGGGCCAATTTAATTGTCATAAAAACCATAGTTTTAAATTTCTACCATCATTAATGAAGAAACTCCCCAAATTGATGCTTCATATGGTTAATAATCATTCATTGCTCAGATACAGTAAATGTCTTAAAGAAAAAAAAAATAGCGTTTAGAGATGTAAAGTGAAGGCTGCTGGAATTATCCACAAAGTGAAAATGTAACTCACTGACAGTAGAACACTGTCTGGAGACATATTTTCTGTGAATTACTCAATAACATAACTTCCTCACAGTAGGACATTATCTGACAATGGGATTCAGTGTGATGAAAGTGAAGGTTGTGTAGCAGTTAACTTTCATAGAAGCCACACAAGCTGATGTAGTGTACAGGTTGTCTCATAGCTCACACACCAGAAGAATTATTATTACAGCATATTCTCTTTTTATCTTTTTCTGGGGAGGGAATCATGACAAATCAATGAAGATGGCAGAAAATTTAACCATATAAGAAAGAGTAAATTTAGTGGGTAATTATCATGTATGGAGTGGAAGGTACTACACACCAATCAGTTACAAAAATATTATAATCCACCACACCCAGGTTCAAGAACCATTGAAGAAT